GAAATTCCGCAGTGTGCTCTCGCAATCGCGGACTTAGTCATTTTTACAAGGTTCGCCATTTTTGATGTCATGTGACAATTATGTAAACAATGTCTGTCCAGTTTGTGCGAACTTGCATCTCTATACTTAGTCTTTTGATATATATAACCTAAATTACTGTTCTGAACGAGACAACAGACAGAGAATGTTTTATTTAAAAACGTCACAAAACCTTCTCGCTACCTGAGAACTGGATAATGGAATTACAGGTACTGTACTACGGTAATCTGACGATCTTAAGTGACTGTTGAAATAAAATTAGTTTAACACATTTAGTAGTAAGTTGGAATTTTGTGATAAATTCAAATACATTTTAAATGATAAATTCATACACGCGTTGAAGTTTTTATTATGGGTCGTGTTTAGTACCGCAGCAAATGATGCATGTAACGCCATTCTCAACAAAAAACAAACGATAGAGGGCGTTGTTGAACAAACCCCGGTTCTGGGCTTAATCCGCAGTCGCGTCTGCATTCAGTGACACATGGCACGCGCACCGCTTCGACGAAAACACAGTATGTTAATATTTAGTCTAAGATTGTAAAGTATTTCCTCGGAGAGGCTTGTAAATTGAAGGAAAATGGGTAAAGCCGAGCAACAATAAATTTTTAATATGCTAAACGATATGCTAAACTCTATAAATCTATAAAACCAACAATCGGAAAACGAAAACCATTTATCGCTAGCTTAGATTCAGTACGACTATTTCACACTAGACTGTCGGCAGTCCTCGGGCCTAATTGTTTTAGTATAGTAGGCGTTTGCAAGGAATGCCACATGAATTTCAGCCTCCGGCATTCGCTGAAATGCCTGCGGCATATCTTGCAAACGCCGCCTTCGACTTTTGCTATACTAACAAATTATGCCTGCTGACTGTCGACATTATAATTCCTCACTTATGTTATCATAAAGGTATAATGTCACATTCCATCAATAGATAAGCGTGAAATTACAAACATGATTGAAATTAGAATGCAAAGAATTGTCACCTGGGTGGTTCTGAAGATGCAGATAAGTTTGCCAAGTTGGCGAAAAATGTGTACGTCCCTCCTGGAAAAAAGTCGTTCTTCTTAGCCGTGGTGTACATAGTCTTGATCCATTATTTACGTCATCGCAATATTTTACCAGAAAATTTACGAGATTTGGTCGCGGCGTATCATCATGGAATTTGGACATCGTTTGATTACAGATATCTGACCTTTTATCTTCAGAAACATAATACACATGAAAACGCCACCAAGGATATTTTAACAATTGTGTTGCTATGGATACCATTGGCATTACAAACTAGAACTCCAATGATCGGTTAACAATATGGTTTTGTGATCGACTTTTTTCAAAAATCAGCTTTAGACCTCTGGCGATAGCCATTATCATGAGGAATAAAGTACAACGCGCTGTCCATTAAGTTGCCTGGCAATATTGTGAGCAACAATGGACGAGACGCAAAATAAAGCGTACATCGTCACCCGAACCCAGTTATTTAAACAACAAGTTAGATTTAGTTTTTTGTTGTTGAAATGAATTTACTTGCAAATAAAGGTTTAATTCATCGTATGATAATGTAAAGCTATGACGTCATAAAAATCTCTAATTCTGATAGTGCTGTTTTTATAACGCGTAATAATGGGCAGTGCGGAGTTATATATTTCGATTTTATTAACCGCGAAATATAGATACATTTAATATTCGAGCAGTGGTACGCTTGAAAAGAAATAAATCGACCGTGTAGTTAACGAGAGCCGGGAGTCGACGACGCCAACAAGCATTTTTTCCGTGCGTTAGTGCATTGTTTCCAACTTGAAGTTATCGTGTGATAACTGGAGATCACGTGATGTCGATCGACCAATGAGAACACATCTTTGCAAATGTATAAAAGCAGTACCACTTCCAGTGGTTTCTTTTTTAGTA